ATTCCCTTGGGCGCCGCTCGATTCGGGTCATTTAGTAAAATTCCCTCGGGCCTTCGGCCCTCGGGAATTTTACTAAATGACCCTCATCGAGCGGCGCCGAAGGGAATTTTACTAAACGACCCTCATCGGGCGGGAGGTTTTAATAGCTAATTCGCCTCTTTCTATGCTATTACTTATAAGTATTCGTCGAAAGAGTACATTTTACTCTGCCTACACGGATGTATCCGTCGGCAGGCATGCAGGCATGACTTTGAAAAATATGCCGCCCCCTGCTTTTCTGCATGAAAAAAATGTTTGTGAATCATTTTACCCCGCATATCGCTTTCTATCTATTACAGTAAATGAAAGAACAGTATCCACTTTAGGTGGAAGCTGAGAAAAATTTTAGTTTTTAGTTAAAACTTCTTTTAGTTAGATATACATGGCGGGCGCAGATCTCGAAATATCAGGCCATGTCAATTTGGTGCCTAAACGCTCAACATATCTGCAGTAGAGGCCTATTAATACAGCTGAGGCCTATTAGATATAGTTCTCCACCTACCTCATCACTTTCAATTATCGTGGTTGCTCCAAATGCGGTAAGATTCTATGTAATGTTTCAAATTCAAAAATAGAGATAATTTTGCGCATCAGACTTACAATGCGCTATATGATCCACATTTTTGAATTTTTGTTTGCTGCAATACCGGTAAGCTACTCTATTTTGTCATTATCAGAATATTACGGCATCTCGCTCGATTCAACGAATGTTCAAGGATATTGTAGATCATTCACTCACTGCCACATGGCTAGAAATTGCGGACATTGCTACTGAGCATGCTTGGACTATACAATCAAACATGGCCGCCACGCGGTAATAGAAATTATAGGTGTGTAAACAAAAATATTTTAAATATAGATATTGGTATCCTCTATAACGAATGGTTAACGAATTTACGCACGTCGAGTTTTCTTCGGAAGAGCCGTCGTACTTTTAAATGCTACAATTATTTTATCCATATCTCACATTTTGTATGTTCCATTTTAAAACTGCTTTCAGCGATATTTTGGCTAGTAGAAACTATATTATTTTGTCTAAATTGTTGCCAATTTAGCGATGATTTCGTGCCGCCGTGCATGACAATTATATGTTCTTGGCAACATTTGCACATTTCGGGTCATTTACAACACACTATGTTTGTGATGTTACTCTGTTACACATTTACTATGTTTGTGATGTTACTCTGAGTGTATATCCACACTGGGCGAGCTTGAAAAATATGCCTGGCCACGGTGGGAATTGAAACTACGACGTTTAGGAATACTAGCCAAATGCTCTGCCAACTGAGCTACGCGTCAGGACGGTTCGAGTAAGTGATATTTCGGAACAGAATCTAGTTCCTTCAATACCAATGTAATCTAGTAATATGATTTTTTCTGTGTTGGCGTTGTGTACTCATGATTATTATTAGATAACATTGATGTCGAAGGAACTAGATTCTGTTCCGAAATATCACATACTCGAACCGACCAGATCGCGTAGCTTAGTTGGCAGAGCATTGGGCTAGTATCCCAAAGGTCGTAGGTTCGATTCCCACCGTGGTCGGGCATATTTTTCAAGCTTGCCCGGTGTGGATATACACTCAGAGTAACATCACAAGCATCAAATCCACAATGCTGCCAAAATGGGTATGTAATTCATGATGTCAATGACAATAACTTTCATCAAATTTTCTCTCAAATATTAATTATATTATAATAAATTTGTTCATCACTGTGAGAAAAATCCAATTGGACATCCCTCTAAAACGTCAATTCTGCCTAAGTATGCTTGCAGACCCTAGAAATTTTTTAAATTTGTTACCTAATAGTATTTTTTTCAGGTACAATCAGCAATTGTTTAAGACTATGAAACCATTTGTTGGTGAACATTCTCTAAGCAATGAATGTCCTCTTTGCCCCCAGGTTAGTACTTTACAATTAGAGACATATTATTTTGTCTGTTTGTATTTTTTCCCCAGGGACTTTGCTTCTCTTTCCATTTGACAAATCGAAATGATATTAAATACATTCTTGAGGATATGCCAATAGATATTATATATAGGTCTTAGCTATGAACTGACACTTGAGCTGTGTCCTAATTGACTCTTCCAGATATTTTTGAATTTATATTGGTCCATAAAACCAGGGGTAGATTTATAGGGGGGTGCGCAGGGGTGCGCACCCCTGTTGGCCCTGGTCAATAGCCAATTCATTTGAATGCTCTCCCACCACTCCCTAAAGAATTATAAAGAAATACTCGGCTGCTCACAAACCGAAAAGAAAAACCTTGCTGGATCCGCCCCTGGATAAAACAATTGATGGGGGGATATGTTCACCCTAAATCCTACTGTGAATAGGTATTTGAGCAGTGAAGTTTTTGCATGAATACATAACAAATGATCACTAAATTGTAATTAAGGACTTAATTATCTTGTGCATTACAAATTTATGTTTCATTGATGGCCCGTTTAACTTTAATAAAGCTGGCTATCCAAATACCAGCTGAATGGCTAAGTCCCTACTTGGGGGGGAGGACCAGAGTCAGACCGATCAGTGGCGTAGCCAGCCCAAACCTGGTGCAAACCTTTTCCCCCCAAGGCATGGTGATACATTCTTTGCAGATCAAAATTATGTTTATAATTTTGTTGAACAATATAGCAAGACTGCAAAAGAACCACCTACTGTGAGTGTAAACTAGCATAAAGAAATATAAAATAATTTTTAAATAGTTTGTAAAATGTAATTACCACATCTGTGCAATGTATATGTAATACTGTTAACTAAGTGTTTGCTATACATTTTTGGGTAAGCCTAAATTGTGGGAGAAAAGTTTGCTCAACTTTTAATGTAAGGGGCCATTCACAAAGGATGTCCGAGCCGAGGGGGGGGAGGGGGGTTTGGAAATTCAGGACAAACTCGGACATGGGGGAGGGGTGGTTTTAGAAATCCGGATGTCCGAAATTTAAAAAATTCAAAACCAAATTTCTTTTTCCCTCTATTTTGAGCAGTCCTTCCCATTGTGAAATTGGCATTTTGACTATGCGGTTAACACTAGATTTTGTTTTAATTAGTAATTTATATGTGTTTGTGTTCACATTTACAGTTATAAAAAAGTTCTAAAAGTAAAAAAAGTTTTTTACTCTTGATATATACAAGGGTGTGAGTTTTTGCGAGGCATGGCGGATGTCCGGGGGGAGGGGTCACTAATTCGGACAATGCCGGACAAGGGGGGGGAGAGGTGGGTCTGAAAATCCATCATTTGGCCGGACATCCTTTGTGAATGGCCCCTAACTTGTTATTGAGTTTGTCAAGTGAACACATCCTGGCCTTAAGTGAGAATTTCTGTCCTAAGTATTTATGTTGTCATACAAGTACATGACATTGTACTCTATGCAGTACTGCTACATTTTCCTTTAGCAATGATATGTGTAGTGAAAATCCCGTTGCTGTTATCAGAAACTGCATTTTTAATTAGTTGTTTCCTTATTGTTCGTCATACTCATATAGTTATCTGGATGAGGACCATAGTCGTACCAGTGGCAAAGCCAGCCATGTCAACTGGTCATGCTATGCAAATTTTAAATGATTTACATTATTCAAACCTTGAGAAATATATTGTCTTAAAACTATTTAGAGCAAAATGTATTAATTAGCATTGCATGATCATTTACTATGGCTGACTTACATATGAGTTGATACTATTTTATATATAATACGAAGCCATGTGCTTTTGCTTGTGTTTTATCCAGGATTGTAGTGAGTTTAAATCTGGTGAGGTAAATAATATGTTGAGGTCAAAGGGAAGAAATAATCTTTTTGATGAAAAAGGAATGTTTGGCAGAGTATGCAGACATGAATATCCCAAAGGATTCATCAGCATTAAACATGGAGAAAGGTTAGATGTTATTTATGTGTAATGTATATTTATATTGTATTTGTACATCAGTTTATTATATAGGAGGCAGTGAGATAGTGGGAAATACACAGTGAGATATTGTGATATCGTTATATGATTCCGCCAATTAAATTTGTGCATGTATGTTCATGTTACAATGATTATTTTACAGTAATTTCACTTTTTCTATTTGATAGGATTGCATTTTCTGTATATGAGATTGAACGTCTTTTGACTCATTGTGATGAGCACTGATGTCAAAGTTACATACGACACAGGTTGTACATTGTCATCTCACTTGAAGATAGGATAAAAATGTCCAGTGTATGTTATTGTTTACTTTAGAGTTGAAAAAATGAGCTACACAAAGCAATTACTGTAATATGTTTTTCAGAAAAATGACAGACAAGATATGCTTGCCAGGATTGATTTAGCTATCCCTGTGTTCCACTGTTATGGCCATAAATCATCTTGCCAGGTTTGTACAGTAGTAGCCTGTGCACAGACTGTGACTATGCTAATTATCACAGTCTGTGAAAATTTGTGGCATTTCTTGTCAACTTCCAGCTGCGCTACCCAGTTCTGGGTAGTTGATTCTGATTGGTTATAGTTAAACTCACCAGATTCTGATTGGCTGAGTTCAAAGGCCAACAAAGTTTTTACTTTTAATGTAGCGTAAACAAATCGTATCAGGCTAAAGAATAGCCGTAATTTTCAACTCATTGATTGCATTTTATTTGTTCAATTGGATACCATATGTAAGTAAAATTTACAATGAACACGAAGTGTCAACAACATGAACACGAAAAATGAACATGAAGTGTCATGAACATGAACATGAAATAATACTTATTAGTGATTTTAACTGTGATTGGTCTCTGGAGAAGGATAAATTGAACTCGCAAACAAATAAATTAGTTGATCTTGCAAATCTATTTCAACTCGAACAGATCATTAAGCAACCCACGCGAATAACACAAACGACCAGGACTATTATTGATTTAGCTTTTAGCAATAGACCGGAAATAGTACTTGCATCAAGAGTTGAGCATTTAGGAATTACTGATCATAGCTTAATTTATATATGCCGGAAAATTACAATTCCTCGTAAGGAGCCAAAACTCATAAGTACACGGCAATTCAAAAATTATAGCAAAGATGCATTTTGTTATGACCTACATAAGATATTTCAAACGCAATCAAGCCAATCTCCTGATCATAATTCACTATGGCAGGAATGGAAAACAAAGTTTCTATTAATTTCTGATATGCATGCGCCTCAAATGACTCGCAAAGTAAGAAGTGAGTATGCGCCTTGGATTACAGAAAATATTAAGAGACATATCTACCACATGCAAGGATTTTCTTAAGAAAAAATTGGTCAAGACTGGATCTTCCAATTTACATGATGCTTACAAAAGAGCTCGAAATGATTTAAATAGATTGATTGAAAAGACTAAAACCGAATATTTTACGAGCATAATTAATAATACTGCTAAAAATCCAAAAGAAATGTAGAAGACAATTAATAGAATTACAAACAAAAAGTCCAAGACAACAAATATAACTAAGATCGTTGTTGATGATAAAGTGATTGAGGAGCCAGAAGTTATTGTAAATATATTTAACAACTTTTTCAATGAAATTGGAACAACTCTGGCTCAAAAACAACCAGAAAGTACAAGTACACCCGAGTCATATATTAAACCTGAGAATCACTCTACATTTGAATTACAGAATCTAACGAAGGTCGAGGTTTTTGGTATAGTTTCAGCATTATCCTCATTCAAAGCTACGGGCCATGATAGAATATCACCTAAACTTTTAAAAGACTCGGCCGGTGTGATAACCTCTAGCTTAACTCAAATATTTAATCAATCGCTGTTGACTGGTGTTTTTCCAGACGACTTTAAGGTCGCAATTATATCACCAATCTTTAAATCAGAAAGCAAATTAGAGTGCAATAACTATGGGCCAATTTCAGTACTTTCAGTTGTAGCTAAAGTTTTTGAAAAACTTATATCAAAACAATTGTCAACATTTCTGGAAACAAGAGTCATACTCACACAACAACAAGCAGGTTTTAGGAAGAAAAGCTCAACAGAAACATCGCTTAAATTCTACTAACAAGTGGTTTATTAACATGGACAAAGGATATTTAAATGGACTTATTTTCCTAGACTTTAAAAAAGCTTTCGATTGTGTAAATCATGATTATTCTAATTAGAAAACTAAAGTTGTATGGGTGCAGTGAAAATACTCTTTGCTGGTTTGAATCGTACTTAACAAATCGACGACAGGTGTGCAAAATTGGTCGTACTATATCTCAGGAACGTGTTATTCGCTGTGGTGTACCACAAGGTTCTACTTTGGGGCCGTTATTATTTTTACTTTACTTAAATGACTTCCCAAGTTTACTTTACGTAAATGACCTCCCAATGACATCACGCACACCCGATTTTCTATATATACATGAACTTACGGTTACAGCTTAACAGCTGGCCTCTGTAGCTCAGTTGGGTAGACCGCTGCACCGGAATCGCAGGGCCGTAGGTTCGATTCCTACCAGAGGACCTTGTGCTGCATTTTTCGCAGTCGTTCCTGGTTAGGTCTTAAAATGTATATATTCTCACTTGGATTCCAAACCCTAACATTTTAATATTAATTCCACCAAGTGAAGTGCAGAATCGGGTTGTTTACCATTTACATGGAAATTCCGGTGATTCCATACGGAAAGTAAATGGAACAAGCATATTTCGACGGCCCAACCGGAAATTTTCTGGAATGAACGGTTTGTTTGAAAAGGTTGTCCTCTCTTACCGATTGGAACGTTTCAACCGGTAAATTTTGTTCCATTTACATCTTTTTTATTTTTTCACCAGTTCCAGGCTCTTTGCGATTTAATTCAATCCGATGGGTTTTCCATATAAATGGTATACAACCCTTCAGTGCCTCCCGGTTAGTCACTCTAAATGGAAAGTGCATAATCCGAATGGGATTTTCTATTCGAAATTTTGCTTACCATTAGCACAATTTCAAACCGGATGGGTTTTCCATGTAAATGGTAAACAACCTCTAAGTCATGAAGTCCACCTTATCACAACCCGCACACCCGATTATCTATATATACATGAACTTACGGTCACAGCTTAACAGCTGGCCTCTGTAGCTCAGTTGGTTAGAGCACAGGAGGCCCAGGCTCGATTTGCCCGCGCCCGCCTGTGCCTTCCTTATAACGAGGGAAGGACGGAGACATTGAGACCAAAATAGCCCAGACTTAGCATATGTCACACGAAACTATCCTCGATTTTTCGCTTTTAGTGCATTTCTTTCACGATTAATCGACATCCCCTGCAAGAATGATACCGTATAACTCTCAAAACAACGATGTTTTAATCAAAGAGCTTAAATTCGATCTGAAATCAGTGAGGGAATAACAAAATTCGGCCAAAATATATCCGCGTGCCGGGTTTGCTGTGCAAAAAGCGGAAGTCGTTGAACAACTCAAAATACACTAAACCCTGATTGGACAACGAATATCAACAAACATTTCAAAATTTTTTAACAGTACTGTAATAATTTCAATCAAAACTATTCACAAACGTTATAAAGTGTAAATATTACTGCATGTAAATATGACTGTAGTACGTTAATATGTATAATAAATTGTATTTCACATTGTGTTTGTTAAAAAAATTTGAAATGTTTGTTGATATTCGTTGTCCAATCAGGGTTGAGTGTATTTTGAGTTGTTCAACGACTTCCGTTTTTTGCACAGCAAACCCAGCACGAGGATATATTTTGGCAGAATTTTGTTATTCCCTCACTGATTTCAGAGCGATTTTAAGCTCTTTGATTAAAGCATCGTTGTTTTGAGAGTTATACGGTATCATTCTTGCAGGGGATATCGATTAATCGTGAAAGAAGTGCATTAAAAGCGAAAAATCGAGGATAGTTTCGTGTGACATATGCCAAGTCTGGGCTATTTTGGTCTCAATGTCTCCGTCCTTCCCTCGTTATAAGGAAGGCACAGGCGGGCGCGGGCAAATCGAGCCTGGGCCTCCTGTGGTTAGAGCGCTGCACCGGAATCGCAGGGCCGTAGGTTCGATTCCTACCAGAGGACCTTGTGCTGCATTTTTCGCAGTCGTTCCTGGTTAGGTCTTAAAGTGTATATATTCTCACTTGGATTCCAAACCCTAACATTTTAATATGACCTCCCAAGTTGCCTATCTCATTCAATAGCTAGTATGTTCGCTGACGATACAAATTTAACAATATCTGGGAAGTCCATAGAAGATATACAAAACCAGTTAAATTCTGATTTAGAAAATATTCATACGTGGCTGTTAACCAACAAATTGACTCTTAACAAAGAAAAAACAGAATATATGATAATTAGCTCTCGGCAACGGTTAGCGAAAATTGATGACGATCCGAAGATAAGTCTTGACGGTATTGATATAAAAAGAGTTAAACAAGCAAAAACATTAGGTATTGTTATCGACGAAAAATAACTATGGAAAAATCAAATTGACGAAATAACTACCAAAGTTTCTTGAGGAATTGGCATGTTAAGGAAACTTTAAGGACTGTCTATAGTGCACTGATAATGCCACATTTCGACTATTGCAGCCTTGTCTGGGATAATCGCAGTAATTATCTACTACTAGAAAAATCACATCCAAGTTATATCGTTCCCGTTACTGCCTGCCAAAGTTGGAGAAGAGCTAGGCTGATATACCTAGTATTTATTTCATTGAAGATTGTATTTATATATGTTATACAGTACATATCCTCAATACCTCAAATGCTCACCATTTACCTGTGCACAACTATTTCAATTAAGGTTGTCCACGAGCAAAGAGGAAATATTGTCCTTTTTAAGATGTTTTTCTTCCATGACAAAAGAAATGACTGCTGGTCGGCGAATCGACATTCTGACGAACGCTCTACCGCATTACGCCCAACGTCGTGTGCAACAATTTGGTTAGCAAATATTATATTTTCTATGTATTTCTATCGTGAATCCCCACTCATAGTAATATTTCAATGTTTACTTTCTCGTCGCAGGACCATCGTTGGTTTCAAAAATGAAAAAACTCGCAAACTTTTGGACAATGCAATGATACAAATGCAAGCGACATTTTCCAGTTTAACAGGTAGAAACTTGTAGACATTTTAACGTCATATTCTATCCAATGTCAAAATGCTCAGAATGTAATGTTATCAATTGAAAACGTATGTACAGAATGTGTTTAAGATCCTTGTAGTATAATAAAGTGAATAAAAAGCAAAATGTTGTGTTTTTTAATTAAATTTCGTACGGCGGATGGGACATGTGAAGGCATAATAGTGCAGGGTTGACGCCAACCTCGTACCCAGGGCCTGCCCGCCCGATTTTTTAATATGGCCGCCAAAGCGTGCGAGGCCCTGGTAAACGCTGGTCACGTGTCAGGCAAATACTCCAAGATTCTTGGA